AGGTTTTAAAAATTAAAAAGTTAAGACTAAATTTACAAAAACATAAACAAAAAGAGTATTCAAGGTGTTTGAATAATTTTAGTACCTAAATTATAAAAAATACAATTCTTACTAAAGAAATACCTTAAATTGTTAGTGGAAAACAATATTTTTTAAAAAGCTTTTACACTAAATTCTATTCGGAAAAAAGTATATATTAATCTAAATACTCAATACCATGTCGGTTTAAGTGAGAAAGAGAGGCTATTTAAATATTTAAATCATTTCCGGCGGATGTTCGGTGTTTATTGAAGTGTAGCACTACAGCGATAAGCTTGTAAAATGTGTTCTAACGTTTGTGTTAATGGTGATTAGTCAAAGAGCCAGAGTTATAAATGATTATCGTTTTTTAATTTACATTTATCTCAAATTAGCTTCTTCTTTTTTTAATTTTTAAAATAAACAAATATTTTTTCTCTTTAAACCTATTATTACATATTTATTTTAATTATTTATTTTACCACAAAAAAATTAACTTTATATAAATACATAAATTATCTCTAAAATCCTTCATAAAAAAAAAAGACAGTTATTTAAAGCCAGAGAATAATAATTGGTTCACAATGGTTTCTAAGGATTCAATATCAGAAAAACAATAGCAACAAAGTTTTGATAGGCCTCTCAAAATTTCAGACAACTTTTGCATCCACACAAGAAGCACTTCAAGATAACTGCAGGGTGGAACAGAACAACATAGAGAGAAGATGGAACAAAATTTACTCTTCCATTGGCTGATTCTCTTCTGCCAGAGTCTGTGACACCTTGACTTTGATTTTCGGGAGAGTAAGAGATGAATCTTCTTTGATAACTGATGGGGCTTTGATCATGTGAATACTCTGGTTCAATTCGTTTTTTGCCTCCTTCCTCCTTTTGACTTTGCCTGTATTAAGCCTGCAAATGTTTGGAAGTACATTTTTTAAATGACATGCAACACCTTCAGTACTTTTTTAATGAGTAACAAGAAGGAAACAAACCTGCTGGAGATGTGGTGTTTCTGCCTATCTGAACTGATTTTATCAATCTTTTTAATGGCCTTCAAAGTGTTTTCTGCAAGGTTTCTATCATATCTCTCTGGCCTATTACGCTTCCTTTCGAACTCGAATGTTGAATCCTGTGAAATCAGGGAACAGGAAAAATATAGAATCAATCACAACCTTCAATGTCTGAGCAATCATTAGTGTGAGGAGGAGGGCCACAAAACTAGAAAATTTAATGCAAGCATGTTCACCTGTGTCATGTCCTTTCCATGCAATCGTCTATAAGCCTTGGTCCATTTTACTTTACGAGGATTCCTCTTCATCTTAAAGTTCTTGTGGCATTTTGATCTACAAAAGCGGAAAATCTACAGATAGAACAACCAGTAAGGAACCAGTGGTACTCAGAAGAGTACAATAACATGCATCAGAGAAAATAATGCAGCTAATAGTATAACAATGTATATGAGATGCCATGAAATTTAGATCTAATTTTGATGCAATTAACATTTTCATAAACACTACACCTGACTTGACAGTTGACACCCCCAATTTTCAGTAAGCATAGCATGGATCTAAATTTATGTAACTTAAAAAGCATATAGGAATAATTAGCAACAAGAACCTGAACAAAATCAGAGGAATTGCAATTATGTTCATTGATATTTTAATTGCCTATCCTTTTATCAATCTGTCCCAGAGTCAGACACTGCAAATATGTTCACCAAAAGTGTTAGACTTAGTGCACCTCATACAAAATGACATCAGTTTATGCTACTTGTAGACAAAATTAGGTTCAGGTCCTGGATATGCAAGACCCCCCCCATATGCGTCAAGTGTTGCCTCAAAAAGTAGTTCACTTCAACAAAATTTTGTTCTTTTCAGTTTAAAGAGCTCTAGAACTTTGAAGTTGTGAAAAAACCAAAAATACATATGAACAATGCCAAAAAGCACTTGAATAAATCTGAACATTTTAGATTTACTACAGAAAAATTTACTCAACTCATAAAAGCTATAAAAATAGAGCAGTTAGCCATTTAAAACCAATTTTTGGAAGGCACAGACAAACATACCAAAATATGAAGCCTCTATCTTTCAGCAAAGTTACACTAATACAGAAACAATGAAGTCATTCTCAGACATGGTAACTTACTACCAATAATTCTATTACGACAACATTCACCAGATGCTAAAAAAGAAACTAATATTGCCCACAGAACAGTTGCTGCTCAAAAGAAAAGAAACTGAGATCGTAACACAGTAAAACAATTAGCTTTACCACAAAATCCATAGTAATCTCAACTGCAGTAATGATGCAAGGAAATGCCCCCAAGGTATGGCTCAACTGGTTAAGAGCCTAAGATTCTTGGGAGTTCTCAGGTCAGGTGGAGAGGGATTTGGGAAAAGGTTGGAAAAGAGAAGGGCTATCCCTCTTGTATAACCCATCATCAGATTCAAAAAAGAAAAAAAAGCAAAAAAAAAAAAAAAAAAAGGAAAATGATGCAAGAAAATGTAAATAACAATCTTAATACTGAGTCAACGGAAAAGAAAAGGGAACAAGCAATAAAGTGGCAGTGAAATAGATCAAAGATTATCTGCAGAAACAAAAATCAAGATTCTACCTTGGCATCATTGCGGACAAACTGAATACCATGCCCTGGATATATTGTAGAGGAACAAAACCAACACTTCTCCAACCTCATCTTGTTCCCTACTTAATAAACCAATACAGTTTCCTGAATGATAGACTTCAACCGATTAACGTAAACTAAAAATCAGAACTACCATGCCCGAGCTCTCTGCCCTTGCGCCCCTCTCGCTTCCTCCTTTTCGCTTCCTCCTTTTTTTTAGGGTTTGAGAGTTTTCAGAAGAGAGGGTTTTCGGTTGGGCCTTCCATTCCATGAGCAAGAAGGGGCCAGAAGATATATTTATAAATGGGTCACAACTTTGGGTTCAAAGGCCTTTTCCCCCTTTTTTTTCTCTATTTTTCGGTTTTCCAATCTTTCACCTTAATGACTTCGTACTCTTTGCCAGAGTTTTTTTGAGTTTTTATTTTTTTAATATTATTTATGAGTTATAAATTTAAATTTTATTAAAAAAA